ACCGGAACAATTGCCATGAAATTATTTATAGAAAAGATACAGGGAGGCAAGTTTACGGTGGTGGGAAAGTGACTGAAGCCGAGACGCCAGATCAGGACCATTAATATTGCTGATTTTTATAGCTTTACTTTTCAGTTGCCTGCGCGTTACCACCTGCGTATTTTCCCTCGGGGATGATGCAATGTGCATCTCGGTTTATGAGTATGAGTAGTGGGAGAGTATCATATCTCGGCTTTGAGAGGGTTGTCTGTTTTATTTTGAAGGTGGAAGCAGCTAAGAAGATTTTGGAATCACAAATGAATACTTGAGAACCGTCGATGTGGATTAGGTTACTTGACCAGAAGAATTTTTTAACCGGGTCCAACCTTCATGGTTATGCAGTGCTTTTATCAAAACCTGCCACCATATTGCGCACATATGGTTGTGATACCCTTATCAGACTGGGGGTCATGATGGGCATATTGGGGTTTGTATATTTGTATCCCAGCTTCACTTGTTGATGATTACTGGAGAAAGTGTAGAATATTAAAACGATTCACTGATACTTGATTTCTATAAAAAAAATCAGCAGATACCAATGAACAATCCTACCAGAGACCTAGCAAAGCCATGTTCAGTGTCGGTGCCATTTGAATATACACGTCAACTCAAGAAAACCTGCATTAGTAAGTTTAGAAACGATAAACGATAAAGGATCTAAAACCATCTGAACAATGGTCCCGCATACAGGCAATGAATAGTAAAAATGGGATATGACTGCCAAAAGAGACAGGGCCATTGAAGTCAACGTGTTGGATATCGGCTGAGGAAAAACTTTTGGTCTTACTTCTGCTGCATCAGTGTGTGAGTGGAAATCGGAACTGGTGATAGCATAAATAGGAGATGCATCCAGTGGCTAAAATAAACAGGAAGCACAGGTGTCCTGAATAAACAGGGCGCAAGGGTATCCTGAGTGGAAGGAAATGCAGGTTGCGTGGGCGCATGCCGGAAGAGGCGTGGTCACACGAAGTTGCTTAGGCGATATACCGGACGAAGGCGTAGTCAAGTGAAGTTGCGGTGGTGTCCAAATATTATTTAACCGTCCGATTTTTGATCAGGATAGAGAGTCCGATTCTTGATCCTGAGCAGATCCCATGCAAATGTTAGGCTAGAAAAGTTCACGCTTTTAGGAACTTAGAGAAATTAAAGTATCATTATATATTTTTTTAAGTTTCCTGATTGTAGTTGGTTGCCGGTACAAATGCCTTGAAATGTGGAATGAAATAGCAGTAGTAGCAGCAATCAGGGTAGTGACCCTAATGACTTCGGCCAGAGAGCAGTGCGAAAGCACATATTAAAACCACTGCAGATATTCAAATTACAAAACAAGAAAAAATATGGCGATTTTCTACGCGTAGCTTATATGTAGCATAGAATCGAAAGTATGGGGATCCCAGTGAAGATCGAACTCACTATTCAGTCATAAGTGATCTAGAAAAACAAACTAGCTATTACATCATAACGAACTGCCCAGATGGTTTTCTACGGGAAATTTAGTTGTGATATAAGGCCATAAGTATGGTACACCCAGTGAGCCTCGAACTCTCTATTCAGTCTTAACTGATCTAGCAAGACAAGCTTGCTAAACATTACATCACGTCGAAGTGCCCAGAAATGATTTTCTAAGCGTATCTAAAACGTGGCACAAGGCTGAAAGTATGGGCTACTCAGTGAGGATCAAATTCACTATTCAGTCGTAACTGATCTAGCAAGAGTAACTTGGTGACCATTGCATCACGTCGATGTGCCCAAATGTTTTTCTACGTGGAGCTTGGATGTGACACAAGGCCAAAAGTAGTGAGGATCGATCTCATTACTCAGTCGTAATTGATCTCGCAAGACAAGCTTGCTAACCATTACACCATGTCGAAGAGCCTAAATATGAGGAATTATGTTTACTACTGCAGGTAATGATAATAAGTTTAGTAAAAGTGACAAGTTACGGATGCACATAGTAATGGTAATATTAGCCGTTTCCTTATAAGAAAACATTAGGAGTTCATTTATCGAGCAATCAGTACTACTGTCGGTTCAATTTTATAAAATCTTTCTCTTAAAACAATTTTTCAGGAAAATAGGTTTCTTAAGGTCAGTAGCTGTTCCAGTAATGATGGGGGTTGACTTACTTAATATTTTTTGAAGTAGTGTGTAGTAGTCTTGATTATGATATCATTTTCTCTTCGAAAAAAATGTGATATTCATTTTAGTTATTGCTGCTGTTGAAAGTCCTCAAATGATGTGGTTTCTATTATCCAATAGAGTTCTTTGTGATTCTGTAGCACTTGTTCACAAGGTTCGAAGAAGAATGATCTTCGTCAAGACCCACAGGCCTTATTTGCTCAAAGCCATTTTTTAACCATTGGTCTGATCTATGCGTGTTGTTGTGTTCTCCCTCTAAAGAGACTATGTTGAACTCTTCCGCCTACTATAAGATTAGTAGGAGAGAAGGCCTTGGGCGAACAGTCGAATAGATTGTTCAACTGTCCAACTCTCTGCCTCGGCAGAGAGGAACTCGGGCGAGGCTTTGCCGCAGGGCAAAGCTTCGTCCGGGGAGGTAGACAGTCCCTGAACCTGTCTAGGTGGGTTCAAAGGGAATATTTTTGGCCGAGCCTACGGGCTCGGAGAAACCCACGTTAAACTCGGCCTTGTGCCACATACATTCCTTGTGGGGGTGACTGTTAAATATAACAGTCGAATAGATTTGTTCGGACTGTGCTGTTGAACTCTCTGTCTTTGGCAGAGAGGAACCCGGATGAGGCTTTGCTGATTGGCAAAGTTTCTTCCGGGGAGGTAGACAAGGCCCTGAACCATCTATACGGGTTCGAAGGGAATATTTTTGGCCGAGCCTTCGGGCTCGGAAAACCCACGATAAACTCGGCCTTGTGCCACATACATCCCTCTTTGGGGGTGGGGGTTAAATATAACAGTCGAATAGATTGTTCTATCGGGCTGTGGCTATTCGCAGCTGCTGTCAAACTCTCTGCCAATGGGGCAGAGTGGAATCCGGAGGAGGCTGTGCCGAAGGGCAGAGTTTCGTCCGTGGAGGCAGACAGACCCGAACTCGCTTATGCGGGTTCTACGGGAATATGTTTGGCCGAGCCTACGTGCTCGGAGAACCCACGGTAAACTCGGCCTTGTGCCACATACATTCCTCGTGAGAGATTATTAAATATTAACAGTCGAATAGATTGAACGCTGGGTCAACCGACACACATTCACTAGTCATGTAATACTCTTCTGATGTACTTACTGTTTAATATATAAGATATCTGAAACGCTGGATTTGTTATTTCTTAATCATTTATTTATCACAACATCTTAACTCGCCGAAACCTCCAAAGACGTTGTGACAAAGTAAATGGTTAAGAAGGCCTTCTCTCCTACTAATATTATAGTAGGCGGAATAGTCCAACATAGACTCTTTAGAGAGAGGACACCACAACAATACGGCTTACAGTTTAGATATTTCTGAACGAGTTTGGTGCCATGCATGACATCCATAAGGATGCTTCGATCTGATGACACCATCTAAGGACGTGACTCGAGATTTCAGTTTAAGGTTTTCGTTTTTTTTTTTTAAATTTGCGGTGTTGTATGAAAGATGATTATGAAAATAACTATGGAAGGCAAAACATATACGAATTTTAATAACTGGAAACAATAACACGTCATAATAATCATCATAATAATCATCATAATATAAATAGTAGTTACAAAAATGTAAAAAAATAACAGTAAATGGTAATAACAACAGGTGTGAACAGGAACATCAACTAAAGACATAAAAACAAAAACAACCATAGTAATAATAATAATAATAATAAAAATAATAATAATAATAATAATAATAATAATAATAAGACATTAAAAGTAATGTAGCTGTACAAGTAGGGAATCATAGAGGAAAATACAAACATTATAAGATTTTATGAAGAGGAAAAAGTAAATTAAGAAATGTTATTTGCATAGAGTTGATAACGTGGACATTGATTCTGAAATGGTGTTAATAATAATAATAATAATATTAATAATAATAATAGCAATGAAAATAAGAACAATAATACTTTTATGTAAATCGTGGCCTGTATAATACACATAACGTTTTTACATAACATTTTACAAATGCAAATACCAAAGGTTTACCGGAAACAAAATTTACAAAATGGCGATGGCGTCCGGTCTCCGTGTTTCCGGCTGTGGCTGAAATGAAACTTTCTATTGACTGATTACGCGAAAATCTTTTTAAGTTTTCAGGAATACGAAAAGCAAAATACTTTCTTGTGCGAGGGCTTTCTTTCTGATTTTCCTATCATTTTTTTTTTTTTTTGCACTGGATGAACGTCTATAGAAACGCAGGTTCTGTGCCCATCAATATCTATATTTTAATATCTAAAATATAATTTCTATGCATGGACAGTAATTAATGATCAACTGAATGTGTCGTGTCGCTATTCTTACTATCTCTTAGCTTATGTAGATTCAAAAAATAACTTTTTAGCCAAGTGACGAAAAGGAATCACATTAAAAATTCTTAATTTTCAAAGTAAACATTTTCCTAATCCCACTCTAATTACTAGGACCGAAAATTACATAATGCAAGTTTCAGACAGAAAAATAAGATAATAACTCAGCCTGCAAAATTATTGACACGCCTTCTCATATACATATAGATCAATTGCTGATACCCTGATAGTAGGGGATGCTGAAGATAACATTAACCAGGTAAGTGACAAATCGTTTACTTTTATTAACTCCCTCCGTCTCTCTGCATATCCGTCTTTTTGCAAGTATTATATTCATATTTTCGACATGATCGCGCTTCTTGTCAAGAGTGATTATCAATCATAGAGATCGAAAGTTATACAGTGAAAATTTATGATCGAATTTCAGCTAATAACCGTGCAGACATATGGATTTATTGATTCTCCATAATATGTTTAGTTTCTATATGTTAATTTCAGTCATTTTATCTTCTGCTTCTTCTTCTTCTTCTACTTCTTTCTTTCTTTCTTTCTTTTTTTCTTTCTTTCTTTCTTTCTTTCTTTTTTTCTTTCTTTCTTTCTTCTTCTTCTTCTTCTGCTTTATGTTGACAATTATGTCTCTCTAAAATTCCCTGTTCTTTGTAGCTCTTAATAAATTTTTATCTTTTTATTATCTCTCCTTAACCTTATTCCAATATCCCTTTGCTAAATTTCGACAGGTTTTGCGTTGTTTCCCTCTCTTCTTCTTGCCTTTTGTGAGTATCAAATTTTCGAAGTCCTCTTTCCTCATTTTCCCAGAAGATCAAAGTTGGCTCGAAAGCATGGAGCCGGAAGAGAGTTCCACAAGCAAGAAGTGCGAGAAAATTCACTATTAGCACAGAACACATAAGGTTATATCTAGTCAAATCAATTGTAAATCGACGAAAACACGTTGTCAATCTAGTACCGCGCTTAAAATCTTAAAGTCTAGGTATCATAGCGTAGAGTTCATCCCAACAATTAATATTTATGTAAAAGGCCCAGGGAAGCTACATTACGGCGGTGAGAAAGTGACTGAAGCCGAGATGCCATGTCAGGACCAGTAATATTGCTGATTTTTCTTTGGATTTATTCAAGAATCTTTAAATATATACCAGGAGCACCAGGCCAGATGTAGTGCAAATCTATTAGTGAAAACGACTGATGCGTATTCTCATCTTTTTCCCTAAAAAAAAAAAAAAAAAAGACTGATGTATATTCCCATCAGGGGAGGCACGGTGGAGTAATGGAGTAATGGATAGCGGCTTGGTTTGATGAATCGGAGAGCCGGGTTCAAATTCCAGTCGAATGCATTACGTTCACTTACGTTCTAATAACCCTGGGAAAGGTATGCATCCTCTTCTTCTCCATCCCCTAGAGATCATGAGAGGACGAAACGTGTCGGCTAAAAAAAATTTTTCCTGTATATGTATGTATGTATGTATGTATGTATGTATGTCTATGGTAAGTAATAACATAAAGGGTGTGTGAGAAAACCTGCAGAACCCGTTCCGGTTTCAGCTTTTACATGAAAATCCACGAGTAAGCCGAACAGAAATTACAAAATAGGCCAGTCCCTGTACAAAACAACTTATAACGGATGGATGGCTACTGTTCTACCGCAGAAAGAAATGGCAACCTACTGCGGGAAAACCCTGCCTTGTCAGTCATGTATCGAAAGATACATGATGGCCTAAGCATGTATCAAGCATGGCACATAACTGACTGATGTGCTAATACCCTTGGGAAAGGTATGAATCCCCTCCTTCCCCCCACCAGCTATGGATAAATAGCAAGACAGACCGGGTTCTATAGTCTTGGATGGCAACTAGTTTAAGGCTGAAAGAAATGGTAACCGACTGCGAAAAAAATATCGAAAGATACATGATTGCCTAAGCGTGTATCACATAACTGACTGATATTTCCATCATTTTAAGAATAGTACAGACATTTTTTCTAATTAATATATTAATGATAATATTTGTATTAACCGTTTCCTTATAAGGAAATATCGGCATTCACTGACACTTCGATCGGTTTTCCTTTACGGGTAAGTACCGCTGAAATGTTTCTCGGAGTTACTTTTATTCTTTGTTGTAATACAATCTTATTGAATGTATTAGTATGCATTGAGGCTGTGATCTTTCCTTTTACCATTAATCAATTGTATTTAAAATACTAAACATGCGAACACATTGTTTTCTTAAGCCTTAGACGGATAAGATTGCAACAACTGGAGATTACGTCTCTCAAACTCTTTAAAAATTAGTTTTCGTATAGCTTTTTTTGCAGAGTACCTGCCAGCAATCAGTACTTGAATCAGGACAAATGTTAAGTTCTGAATTCAAATTTGCACATTAAACATGTCTTCACCTTGCAGGTGTATGACCCCCCCCATATATATATATATATATATAGTGATTTTCCAAGGCCGAAAGTATGGGGTACCCAGTGAGGATCGAACTCACTACTCAGTCGTAATTGGTCTAGCGAGACAAGCTTACTAACAATTACACCGCCTCGAGGTGAGTTATTTTCTAAGCGTAGCTTAGATGTAGCACAAAGCCGAAAGTATGGGACACCTAGTGAGGATCGAACTCACTTTTCAGTCGTAACTGATCTAGAGAGACAAGCTTGCTAACAATTACACCACGCCGAGGTGCTCTATATATATGTATATATAAAATGCGGTAGAAATATGCTATATTTATGGGTTAAAATCCCCAATATCAGGGATAGAGCGTATGTAAATTTAAAAGTGGATATTGAAGTCGACAACCAGCGGCGACAGTCTGCTTCATGCTTAAACGCGATTTGTTTTAGCTCGACTATTTGTATATGCTGGGCAATGTGCCTTATGGACATTATAACTGAATTCGGATCTACAATTATTTCCACGCAATAGCCCATACAATAATTCAAAACAATCGTTTCTGCTCATTCAGATAACCGTGATACAATAGGGCTACCCATAATGATCCACAGACCAGTCGAGCCAAAACACAACACAATGGCTTCAGGATTGCTGCTGTGTTCTTTTCAATGTCCACACCACACACACACACACACACACACACACACACACACACACACACACACACACACACACATATATATGTATAGTATGCGATGGGTAAATTGTCGCCATTTTATATATTTAATTTCGTGCATTAAAACTTTGTCGACTGCACGGTTTTGTAGGGTCAGTTAGTCACCGTCTGTGAGAAAATGATCACCATGACGCAATTCACTCCGTCAGAAATTTGGAAAAGGCATGATGTACAGCTTGGCATTCGCGTCGGAAGCCCCAATGCGAACATTTCAGAATGTTTCGGTGTCAATCGATTCAGAGTGCAGAGGATTCGGAAAGAGTTGAGGATATATCCTGTCAACATCACGGTGTTTGGAGTGATCACTAGTGATGGCGTTATGCCTCCATTGATCATACCGCAGTAACTCAAACTCAACACAAATGCCTACATCAAGTGGCTTGAAGCAGTAAGGTTGGCTAGACCAAGAGTATGGCTGCTGGAAGACTGTATTTCTGGTAGCAAGATTCTAAACCATGACATACAAACAGAGAACACAGTTATGGCTGTCAGACAATTTCTCCGACCACATAACGACTTACATCTGGTCACCTGAATCCCAGACTGTAAATCTTTTGAATGCTATGTGTGGGGAGCAGTTGAGCAAGAGACCATAAGAACTCCTTGTAACACCAAATGTGAACTGAAGGCAAGGATTATTGATGCATTCATCAACTTAAAACAGGATGCCGTCCAAAAGAGATGCAGGAAATTTTGAAGTCGTCCGAATAAGAGAATGAGAAGACTTTAGAAGAAACGGCAAACCTATTCCTGAACAGGGAACAAGGGATAAATCCCTACTCCTGTTCAAAAATCCGGAAGAAAAATTTGAAAAAAGATTACTTAACATTTAAATATCAATTTTATCCCGACATCGATGTTTCGTGGTAGAATTTCCAGTCTTCAGGGGTTTTGGTTTTAAGCAGTATTAAACGATGATAGTCTAATATATATATATATATATATATATATATATATATATATATATATAATATATTTAAAAGAAATAGGTTATAGTGGTTCCAACGAATGAAAAGTGTGTATATTAAAAAGAAGAGAAGAGAGGTGCCGCAAATGTTTTTGGTTGTAATGTGGATTTTTTATTTTAAATATTATGCTTTATTTTCCATAATTTTACTACACGCGTTTCTGGACTCGCGACCGTCTTCAGGTAAAAGGCGGAGATTTCCACATATTATTAAAAATAATTATTTTTTTCCTTATGTTTATATCTATCTATCTATCTATCTATCTATCTATCTATCTATATATATATATATATATATATATATGTGTGTGTGTGTGTATGCGTGTGTATTATTTTTCAGATACACTATATCTATAAAGGAACAAAATGAATAAAAAGAGGAAAAGTATTTTTGGGTTTCGTCGTCTAAGTGACATTATAAAGGGAAATGTATGATGATTTATTTAGTAAAAGCCTTGATAAACCAATGACATCCTTGCTTTAAACGCAAGCAACGAAATAAATCCTACATTTGCCTTGATAATGTCGCTCAGAGGACGAAATGCATCGGATAACAATAATTTGTCTTTTTATTCTCGCGCGCACTCACATATATATATATGTGAACTGTGAATGTTTATAACATTTTGCAGTACTAGATTTATTTCTCTTTTGCTCGCAACGCTAGGAGGCAATATCTGTTTTATGAAAATTACGAATTGTTCGAAGATAAGAAAACAGGAAGTGAAAAGAACGACTCCAAGTAAAGAGTAGGATACAACAATATTAATAATTATAATCGCAGTAATAATTGGAAAACTATATTTGAAGACTCGCATGCGAAAAGCTTCTGATCAAAGTAGATATGCCGTCATTATTGACGAAATCAGTAACTAATTTTATTAGCTGGTAACTATAGTTACTAGTTACTAAAGAAATCTGTTCACCTCATTTCCCTTATACACATCTGATGTTAGCGTTATAACTGAATTTCTTCTGAAATTATTCTATTTTTTTTTTCATTTCTCATTGCTATCCCTGAGTTTTCAGACTTACTTTATAAATAAGATAAAAAAAATCATTTAACACATAATCGATAATAAAGAAAAAAAACGTTACTGTTTCTCGAAGTTGTCAATTCTGTATCACGGTAATGAATTAACTTCCGTTGAAAAAAAAATAAAGAAGAATTAACATTCTCAACCATTTTTTCTTTCATTATGTTGGATAGGGGAAATCGAGTAAAACTTCATTTCTGAGCAATTATTTAATTTATTTGATCATTTTTTTAAAAATCATTTCACATAAAGAAAGGCAACAGAGCCACTGATATACAAAAGGGCAAGAAAAGAACGGAATCTAAGAGGACAGGACGTAAAGATTAACACTATTTAAATTTTTGAAGATCAAACTTAACTGGAAAGCAAGAAGCCGGAAGAAAGTTCCATCACCAAGAAAAGAAACTGTTAGAAAAATCGGTTAAAAGTAGCCATTTCGACTTTAAAACGATGAGATCTTGCCGGCAATCTA